CACACACACACACACACACACACACACACACACACACACTGGTTGAAATTGGTCACGACAGGGGACTGTAATCAAGAATGTTGCATCGCCTACATCTGATCTCTCTCTCTCTCTCTCTCTCTCTCTCGCGCGCGCGCGCACACGCGACACGTCCCTTGGCCGCAGCCCCCAGAGGAGAGGGGTATGGGGGAGCCAAGCCGGGAGAAGAGGTATGAGGCGCCCACGCACCCTCTCTGTGAATCAAGATGTCCTGGGAAAGTCGAGACGCCGAAGAAGGTACTCAACCTCCACCTCCTTGGTAAGCGGCATGATTCCGTCTCGGTAAAGACGGGCAACAATTTCGGGGTCGATCTTCTGCGGCTCGTTATCACTCCCGGCTGCAGCTCCTGACAAGAGGATATCTTGACCGAAGATCCTCGCCTTCAGTTCTACTCGTCGAACGACCGCATCCTCCACAGCCTTCATGGTCAATTTCTTCATTATCCCTTCTCGATCTTTGTTGTAAATCAGTTGGTCGTACTCAGCCATCGCTTCTCTATACTTCGCTTCGGCAACGAACTTTCCATAGTGGATTCGCCGAGACAGCGCCTGCAGACACATGACATCACACGTGGCAGCCGACCCGTAGTTCCTGTCATCTCCCTCTTCCGCTAGTTGCGGCAGAAGCCATTCCAAGTACATCTTCCAGATGGCAAGATTCACATTGACGGCTTCAGCCCCCGGGCACAGCACCTTGGGATAGACGAGAGGAGGCAGAACTGGTCGCTCGATGGCATCAGGGAAGAAGGGGTGTTCGTCAGGACTTGTGTAGCGACGAACTCTGGAGTGCAGTTGCTCCGTTTCCCTCAGCAGGAATTCCAGAAGACAAACATTCCGGGGCGGAACTGAGGTTATGCTCGCGTCGTAGGTTGGTCTATTTAATTTGTACTGAGCGCGCTCAATCAAGTTGAAGATTATGCTATCTTCTAATCGGATCAACGTATCCCTAATGGCGTCAAGAGTGAGGGTATGGCTTTCATCGAGCAGCTCCTCCGTGCGTTGGCCGCCGCCGCCGCCGCCGCCGTCGCCCTTCGGCAATGGGGGCAGCGTGGCAAGGGCTGTAATTCCTGGCCCATCGGCGGCGGCGGTGGCGGCCCTGGCAGTGGAAATCAGCGACGAGTGAAAAGAAGATGTGTTTGATGAATAAGACGTGAAAGCGCATCGGTCATGCCACGTGGACTGTCCAGACCCCTCATTTCTGGAGGACGCGAGATCGTCAGAGCGCGCCGACGAGCCCATGATGAGCCACGTATTCGTATACCTCGCTCTCCCCGTCCATGCGCTGCCCAGGTCTTCCGCGGTCCGACTGACAATGCTGCCCGCTATAGTGGAGCTGTGAGGAGAAGGGGTAACCCTCCCACCGGCGGATTCCGCAACGTCCGCTGGAGCGCAGGCGTAACTGGCGCAGCGCTGTCCAAATATCGCCACCGTCATCACTCCCGCGCACAGCACTTGTTCCACCACGGGTTGCACCAATCAATCAATCAATCAATCAATCAATCAAGACCCGCTAGTAAGTCCTTCGGGACATCCATTACATCCGCACAATATAAAGAAAATTTGCATTGCTCTTATAAGCACCTCCCCCACGCCCATCCCCGATGTCTCATTTCAAAAAAAAAAAAAAAAAAAAAAAAAAAAAAAGATTATTTTTTTTTAAAAAAAAAAAAAAAAAAAAAAAAAAGCATGGCCCGTGTGCAAGGATGACACGCATGAATGGAGTTGAGCATTTTATTATTATTATTATTATTATTATTATTATTATTATTATTTTAATCATTACCTTTATTCCATAAAATCGATGAGTAGAGGCCGGGGGCCAAGTCCCACTAGCAGCGTTAAGGTACCTCAACGTCTGAATGTGGACGCTTTTGCGGAGACGTGCAGAAATGGTGTTGAGTTTCCTGAACTGCACGTCTCCACAAATACGTCCAGATTCAGGCGTTGAGGTACCTCAACGCTGCTAGTGGGCCTTGGCCCGGGGGACCTCACAATTCCACCCCCAGAGTTATCCGGGCAGCTTCAGCCGGTTTAGCTTACAGGCCTGAGCCCGCGGGAGACCAAATACACAGTCTTTTCCAGAATCCTACTGTATTTCTGAAATGAAAAGTTAATAACCTCACTCTAGCCTCAGTCATCGTCCCCACGGTAGAAACAAACAAAACAAAAACTCTCTCCTAGGCTAAACTATGTGGAGGGATTCTGTGGCCTGATCTACTAGCACCTACTGCCTAGGTCTAGCCGACCTGTCTCGTCTCAAATAAAAGAAATGCGGCCTTGAAGAGGAGAGCCTATCCCGTCGGCCCCTTTATCCTTAGATTTCTGACCGCATTTCTGAGCCTTCTGTGGAAATGCCAGCTTGCCTTCCCGTTGGGCCCTTTATCTGAGGAAATCTAAGGATAAAGGGGCCCACGGGATAGGCTCCTTAGATTTCTGAGCCTAGCCTTCAAGAGGATAGGCTCAGACTGTCAGCCTGCATATACCAGCTTGCCTTCTGTGGAAATAGATGCAAAGCCACTATTTCTGCCCCATGTCTGGGAGAACCAATATTCTGCCCCATGTCTGGGAGAACCAATAACGGTTCTTTTTTCACCGGGGGTGAGGAGATCGCCAATCTACCCTGATACTTCGTCTAATCAGTGTCTTGATGTTCGAGATCTGGCTAAGGATGGAGGTATCCTCCTGGTTAAAAGTAGCTTTGTTTCTTGATTTCCACAATGTTTCCATTACCGCCCCTCGGCAGGCAAGAGCTGAATAACCCCAGCCGGAGGAAAGGTCCAGCCCCCCCCCCTCATCAGAGACCGTAGAGGGACCATTCCTGTGTCCAAAGGATGTTGTCTCCCGCACAAGCTCTCCATTTCAATCTCCACCATTCCCAGACTTGCAAGGAGAGAGGGCAGTACAGCCAGATATGGGCAGCGGTCTAACCACCCCCACTTGCATCTTCTCTTTTCTTTTTTTTTGAAACCATGCCCCCTCCAGTGTTAGTGGTGCTGATAAGAGCAGCCACCACTAGCACCTGGGGAGAGGCTCCATCTATTCGTGGGGAGAATCACCTGCTGGAAAACGGGTCCAGCGTCCCATATACAGATTGAATATAGAGTACATCAGAAGAGAAACTGTCACCCCACTTGCATCGCGCACACTGTTTTGATAAGTCCATTCCTTTTCCTTTGGACACTAACCATGTTGCGGATGGAGTTACCAACATCAGTTGGAGCCAAATAAGAGCCACTTGCTTCTGCGAAACCATTGCCTTTAGTGCTCGCCAATGGCCAAGTAAGTCCAGATTGCCTAAAGCAAAGCGCAGTTCTTTGGATAATCTTTCTACCGCCATGGCTATAGGCTATCTTCGGACTGCCGCCCTGAGAATCTGAACTCCTACCTTCGAGGAGTAATGGAATACCCGCAGCTGCCAGTTCCGGCTTGTTAGCTCTTTCCATCCATATAGCAGAGGTTCTATATGCAGATTGACTGTTCCTTTTTTCTGCGCGTTGGACATATACGAGATGGCTGAGCTGTGACCCTGGCTGAGCTGTGACCCCTGGGGTGAGGTCCCACTAGCAAACAGGATAGGATTAAAGGTCTAAATCTGGATGCTTTTGCGGAAAAGTGCAGAATCTCAAGATAGATCTGATGTTCTGCATCTCTTTGTAAAACACGTCCAGATTCAGACGGTTAATCCAATCCACTTTGCAAGTGGGACCTCGCCCCTGATACTACGTACGACATTGTGGAACTTGAGAAATTACGACATCATGCAACCCGAGCTCGTCTGTGTAGGGAGAAGATGACATTTTCGTGTCTCTTGCAACGTGTGTTTGTTACACGGTGCGAGTGATGGGCAATTTCAAAATGATGGTGGTACTTTTCGCTGGTCAGACCAAAAAAAAAAAAAAAAAAAAAAAAAAAAAAAAAAAAAAAAAAAAAA